GAAGAAGAAAAACGTAGAAGGAAAATCATCGAAAGGGAGTCGTAATTTTTGCACATAAATAACCGCGTTATCTGCACTCTATGCCGGTTTCACCGGTGAATATTTGATGCTAATTGTCCGGCTAACAGCGGCACTACTCGTAGCGTCAATCATGGCGTAGCCTCGGGAGAAAATCCTCGTCTCGATGCTGTCAACGTGAAGCCACGGAAAAAGGCACGTAAACTTGTCGCGATTGATGTAGAAAGTAACTATAAACCGACACTGAACCATTTACTTCTTCCAATTCCTTCCTCTAAAAACGTGAAACTTCACCAGATCGAACAGAGATATCTCTCATGGTCGCGGAAAAGTATACACAAATAATCACCTTGCACATGTAAACCGAAGATAACCCAGAAACATAACCCCCGATATTGCCTTGTTTCCCTGTCGTATTTCTACTTTACCGATAAAGAAAAAACACATCTACTAAATGTCAAATTGATCCTCTATCTCACATACCGAAAGTCCCATACGTGTCTCGCATCTTGTCGCTCCGTTGATCCTCAGAATCCTTGTTTATCGAGAATACGATGCAATCGAGCCGATGGAAACTATCCTTTAAGCGGTGTACGAACAAACGAGGGTACACGTAATTGAACGAAACGGGAAAGATCACCGTAAACAGTCGTTGATACAGGAGTAAAAAAACAACTAAGAATGAAACGATGCTATGTACGCGAATACGACATCGCAAATATCGACAACGAAACGATACCAATCGATAGTCGATCCCCGTCCGTTTGTCCGCCTGTTTTCACGCAATAATCTGTAATTGTATCCACGCGACCACGACCCGTAATTCGCAACTTGACCGCAAGAAGGAAGTGTCGACTTATCGACAGAGCTTTCCATCGAATTGTCTACAATGATTCATCCCAATTAATCAAACAATCTGGAAGCAACAAAAATTCGATTCGCGAAACATCTATCTTCTCCGCGACGGTTACACTGGTACGTCTGCCTGCGTCGATTCCCCAAAAGTCGAACGTTACTTCGATCGATCGCACACATACTCACGCAAGAGACTCGGAAAGTGCGTGTGGGGGGCTAACTGCGTGAGTTATCTGCAGGTTCAAGGCGCCGTTTGAGAAATTATCGGAACAATCACGAACTACGCGAGTCGTATGATAGTGGTTTCGAAGGCAGAGTTTAATCACCGTTACTGAGGAACCGGGCAGTTAGTCATCAATAGCGTGCAATGGTGGAATGTTTAGTGGTGCAAGATATCAGTTATTCTTGGAAATATGGATAATTATTGTGGTTTGCGAATATGAACTTTTTGTTAAAGTTAGAGTGTTGAGTAATGACGGTTTGTAGATAACTGTGTTACAGAATTTCTGTAATTGGCTGTGGTTTTACGTGTGAATTACGTGTCATGATAATCAAGAGGTGGTCACTGAAATTTTCTATGCTTATTATGATTTATGAATTACGTATAAATTACGTAACTACTGAAGGACTCAAAAAACGCAGCAATAAAATCCAGAAAAATCCTCAAAGGTATATACACCAGTACATTATAAACTTTTGACGAATTTAACACCTGAACTTTTCCCTCATGTTTAACCCTCTGCTTTCTTACCATCTAATCTGTCAATCTACGTGTACTGTAAATATAGATAGGCACATGTTTGCTTTAAAACGACCGCCTACTTGTTGAGTCGTAACGCAAACGATACCCCATAGAATCTATAATCGATCACGCAGCTCGAAAGGACGAATCCCAGCAACAAAGTGTGGCACGTGAGACAGTGTCAACAATCTCATACGATACCATGTTTCGTCTCGACGGCGTCGGTAGCGCACTATCGAATTTCGTTCCATCTCATGTTCAGAGATAGCATAATTGCTTGTATAATTGCAAATTTCTTTTCATTTAGTGATAAGATATAGAATATGTAACACGATATAATTGGGCTCGAAGAAGAATGGAAATATTATCGTAATACACGACGACATTGATAAATGTCGTAGTACGCCATTTGTATAATTCGTATAATAATAAAGGATAAAAGAAACATATTTTTTGTAATAGTAATGGAAATTGAAAAACGATTTTTATTTTACAAAATTACACTGAAAAAAATATTAAAGTAAATAAATTACGACCTACTTTTGTAATAATAAACAACGATACTATTAGGTAACGATAATTCTAATAAAAATGAAAAGATATCTTACTTTCGAACAGTTCAACGTTTATTGAAAATTTTCCAGATACTCGATTCGCCATTTTTGCGTACAATAAAATACCGGTCGTCGAAAATCGGTTCGATAACTTTATCCCCAAGCTCTCAGCAAGGCGAAAGGTACGAGCAACCCCCTTTAATTCGAACATCTAATGCGACAGTCTAGCACTCATACTGCTTCAACCATGTTCCCTCTAACCGCACACGCATGCACATATTGTATAGGTGATCTCTTTCATCTGTCGGACGTATACGGGCGAAAACTTTGTTCGGAACTCACCCATACTATATAAATCTAAGAATCCCTTTTCACAAGTACATATACCGGTTCCTAGATCGCCTGTCGTTCAAGAATCGCACACGAATTCGACGGAATATCGTGTAACATAACTCCTGCTCGAAAGTTCGTTAAAATGTAATACAATCGTGGTTCAGACTGTAAATACAAATTTTATCGCTACTTTGACATACGTTTTAAAATCAAATGTGTAATTGGGTCACGAAAGATGAATATTCATGATAGTTAAGTTAAGACATTATCATGTTAATCATATGTAAGACTGCATGTTCTAATTATTGTGAAAATGGTTAAAAAGTCAATTAAATAATTTTTAGAAAAAATAAGTATTTTTAAGGTTAGAATAAACGAAGTTGAAAACTGGCTTTACGATCCAATTACACAAGTTCGTATGAATTGTAGTTCAAATGAATTTGTCGAAACGCGGTGATTTCGAATGCGCTTGAATTTTTCGAGTGATTTCATACAGTTTCGTGCAACGTAAAAAAGTCGAAGGTCGAATAAAAAATTCATTTCGTCTCGGCCGTAACGGTCTGGTTTCCATGCACGTGCACTGAAAAGGAATTCCGGCGGGCCTGGGAGCTCCCAAAACTTTCGTGAAATATTACGTCAGTTTTTATTGATCTTACACACAGAGACAACGCGGCTCTGCCGAACGTCTAACGGTAACATAACCTGTGCTTAAGACACCTGTGAAAGATAACTACGCGATATTGATCCCTTTACGCGACGTAGATTAACGGAAATTATTATTAAAAAAATGGTATTTCCCCGGGAGACGCTCGATGTATGACCTACTTGGAACTTCTGAGTATTGCGAATAATTTATTAAGCTTGAAAATTTCACTTTTATAAATTAAACAACTTATTAATGATTATCTTAACGATTAGGTAATTAAATAGCAGAATATAATTCGAGTATGTAAGTATCATTATTGAGATACTTTTCATTCAAGCGATTTTTTCCGAGTCTCGAAAACTTTTTTCTCGGTTCTATTTATAAAGCGTCGACCAAGTTATACCTGCCGTCGGCTATCAATACACGTGTTTGCTAACGATATGGCAGTGACCCTATGTACCTGTCAGAAATGGTAACTAAACGTCTTCAAATCTGGCTTGGGGGATGTGTTATCGATCCGTTTGCAGGAAAGTGGTCGATTGTTGTAACAAGGGACGAAACGTATTTTGTAACCCTACACCGATGAATCGTCCCGCCAAACAAGGCCGCTCGATAACACGTATTCGTCTCAAAAATGGGTTTCGTTTGATTCGTTAACGATATTAAGTGACGTTCGCGCTCGAATCACGTGCAGTGCATCGTTAAATACAAGCAGAACGAAAGTCACATGTATTTGGGACAGCGTGGTTATGAAAATGGATCGGGTAAATCTAAACCACCTGCACTATTAACAGAAATTACATTCAATTACTATAATTACTTGTAGAGTATCATCAACTAGGATTATCAATAGAAAGCTTCGAAGCACAAAGTCTGTTGTATTTGAAACGATACTATGAACTAGATGAACAATGTTATCGAATAGAATTATATACAGTGTCAATTAGAATTAATGTTGGAAGAATTAAAGTGCAAGCTATGCATTGATAAAAAATATGCTACGATAAGTTTCAATTGTAATAAAAGTCTATGTATTTAAAAATACAATATATAAATATAAATTAGATCTACACTAGAGAGAATCTAAATCACGCATACCATTAAAAAATAAAAATTATTTTTTGAATTTTAATGTAATTTCAATGAAGATTCATGTTCGACAGAAGTTTGATGACGAAGAACAGGCGTGTTTAACGTAATATTCGCAGGGTGCGTTAACCGACGGGGAAAGGGCTAGTTTCCACCAGCGTGAATGTAGCGGCGTGGCGGCCGAGAAAATCAATAGGCCACGTGGGTCGCCGACCGGGTTTTCCGAACCCAGTTTTCGTCCCACGTTATCGCCTCGCAATATCTGACGTCAAAGATTTTCACAATTCACCACCGAATCAGAGGAACAAGTATCCGTCGTCAATGGAAACAAGCGACATCTCTGTATGGAGGGTTGTTTTCATTTAACGATCCATCGAATACAATCGACTCTACTCGTAGCATAACTCTCGCATCCATGTACACTATCGAAACCTTTCGTGAATAAGTGTCAGTAACCTAATACGTATTCCACGAATTTCACCTCAAAACTTTCATCGATAAACTTCCTCCGCACGATAAACCCATTTACATTCCTCTGCACCATTGGCGATGCTAGCAATCGCAACTTGCATAATACAATTCGTAATATTATCGGTTCAATCTATCCCGACGCACGCCGCTATTACTTAACGTTCCATCCTCCGGCTGTTTACAGTGGTCGGCGTGAAATGCACGTCGACTTTTCATTCAACATTCGCCACGGTGATCACTCTAACCTCAGAGCACGCGTAACGTCAACGAAAAATCCGGTTGCGTCACTCACCCGTATGTCGAACGTATCCCAAGGAAAAGAACCGATCCCTGGAGACTCTGCTGTTCTCGGCTACCACTGGTCACTGGCGTATAATATTCCTTTGACGAATCACAGAAGAAAAGTCACAGGGAGACGATGTCGAGGGAGATGATGACAGTTACCCTCAGAGCATCGTTACTTTCCGTTCCGATCGTTCGCGGCCAACGTTCACTCAGGTGATCGAATCGTGGCAGTGGAAGTCGAGGGCGGATGTGTGATCGAGCACAGCGAGGCACGAGGATGAGAGGAGCCACGAAACGTACAGTATACTGGTCGAGCTCTGAATGACTGTCGTTCGTTCCGTTCGTGGGCTTCGCGCATTATAACGTGCGGCAAAGAGGGCCGGCGCATGTCGTCTGCCCTCTCTCTCTTTCTCACTCGCATCGTTTGTCTCTTTCTCTCTCTCTGTCTTTTCCCCCTTAGTTCCCTGTGTGCGTTCATATACGTGTGTCGCGTGTATGAGGCGGCGTGTATGCATGCGAGTATAAACCACGCTATGCCACCCTAAGTCCTCTCTATCGACCGATCTATCGGTCGTTCCTTTCTGGCAATTATTATTATCTCAAAACATAATTTCGAGATGATTTTGTATCAAGTACGTGGCGACGTCTTTCAAGTCTTTATTCGATGATGTACTGTTGGTACGGAGGTTGGTGTTTGATTATTGATTGAGAACTGGTCGAATCCGGTGGTGGCTGATTCCTTGATGAACGGCGTTCGAATTTTTACAGGACCGAGTTCCTTGCTGAAAAATAGAAAGATTACGAGTGATTCAATTATATGGATGGTAGCTCTGGAGTTGTCGAGAAGTTTGGTAAACTGTTAAATAAGTTAAGTTGGAGGTGCAGAGGAGAAACTGAGGACTTTAAGTTAGACTTGTAGAACGGACATTAAATTTTTAGGTTAGAATTGAGAAAGCAGTTAAGTTGAAGCACTAGAAAATTGGATTAAATTATTAAGCAAGTTCCCTAAATTAATAGGAGAACATGTTAAATATATAAATTTTAGATACAGTTTAGAGATGTTACTCGAGACTCTCGTAGTGTACTAGAAGCACACTTAAGAGAAACAGAATGCGTACGTACACCCATGTATGCTCGAGTGCACATGAAGTGCCACCCCAGACTTTATCGACCAGTCTATCGGTTACTTTCTTTTATACAATATTAACATCAATATTCCAGTTAGTACAATTTCAATGTAACCTCACGTAATAATCGAAAAATAAATATTCGTAACAATCGCCATACAATTACTCAAATTACTTCCGTTTGAACGTTAAAGAAGAAACGATCGAATTGTATGCAGATTTCACACCCACAGAGTAATTAATATCGCATGCTGTTGACGCAGTCGTGTAAAAGTTGTCTCGAGATACCAACAACGTTGAACTATCAACACAAGAGGGCGACAAAACGATCTTTAATGCTTCACACGTCGTTCACAGAGTATTCCATATTGACAAGTGCACCTGCACGACATCACGGCAATCTGTATCGACCGCTTTATCGGCTGTCTAGTGCGACGCGCGCGCGTCCAAGTGGTAAATTTACATTCTCGACTGCTCGTAAACTACCTTCGCATCATAATACGATGAGCAATATCTTATGGGATAATGATCCTGCGTATTAATTCTGCGCGTTTGTAACTAATCGTCATTCCACAATTTCTCGACTTATTGCGGTCTACGGTCACTTCCGCTCTAAAGAATTCTAACATCCTTCTGACGCTTCAACTCCTTTCTAATTTTACGTTTTTTCGCTTTTGAAATTAATTTACCATTAATGTATACGATTAATCTTGTTATTTAAAAACATCTTTCACGTATGAAAGGAAATAATAAAAATTCAATAAAGAATCAGGAAGATGTAAGAAAAGGTTAAGTTTTCAAAAAATAAATGCCCAAGATCATGATATATTATCAAAGAATCGTGTTAATTGATTTATCATTGGTATGTTTAATGGAAAAAATTAAGTACATTGAGTAACCCTGGTAAAAAATCGCGGATAGATCAATCGATTTCACTGGAAAGTGGTTCAATCGGTGCATCAGCGTTCTGTCGAGCGACGAGTAATCGTATTATGCTTTGTCGTGGTCGAACCTGCTTGTTTTCGCCCGTTGTAATCGAAACACACCACGGACACGTCTAATTGTTAAAATTTCGATAATTTAATTGCGTTGTTCTTTACTAGCCACCGCACCAACTGTTTCTATCATGATCTACAATTTTTCCATTTATATTCTGATGCGTTGAAACGTTGTACGATTACACGAGCACTTTTAACTTAACCTAACCTCTTTCTGTTGAACGCTTTTTTCTAATTTTTCGATTAAAACCTTGTGCGTGTGTGTGTGTGAAATGAATCAAATAAACGAGACAAGCGTAGGTGGATGTATATAAATTTAAAAGCGTTACGAGGAGATTTCTATGAATGACTCGACGAGCATGTGAGTATTTCGAGGCGTGACAATTTACGACTGAATTTTATTCACCTCGAACGTGAGACGAGCGGATGAAACTGTGGCTAGAACGATATTAACGCAATCTGAGATAACGATAGCTTGCAGTTCGTCGAAACGGTGAGGATGTCGTTACGGAACAGTACGTGCTTTCCCAAGATTTTTCCTTCGACTCAGCGTTCACGCTTTTTCCTTGATCGAACTCACGCAAGCAAACCATGAAAGTTTCGTCCAATTAACGCTAATTGTTCGAGAAGTGATCAAACGTGAATCATAGTCTGTCGAATGAAATGTACGCTATGCAATTGTTAGAACAACTTAAATAAACATAACACACGATAGGCTATTAACCAAAATGTATTATTTTATGAATGTAAGCGGCTGCTAAGGTACTCCGGTGTCCGTCTCGCTCGACGGCTATTTTAAGAGTGTCCTCTCTGCGTCCTATCCTGCGTTGCTCCGAAAAACCGTTGGAGCCCCCCCGTTCAACTTTCCGGGGAAAGGGCTTAGTTTGTGGTACCCTCAGGTACCCGCGCGCTTTCTCTTCCTGGGTGACAAAGTCCAGGCCACCACTTCGCCGCCGAAATCTCGCATTTTTTACACAATTTTGTATGTATAACTAAGTAAGTGCACATAAAATTGCGTGCAGTGGTGTGTGAAAATATCGCATCAGAAAAAAAGTATTTTTTGGAATTGGTCGTGAAACTTTTTAACATGCATAAAGGAATTTCTTGCCCCTGAATGGTACGGAAAGTTAATATTGAAATTTAATTAATGAGTATGTAAAGTAGATACTAATAAAGTGTTACTAATTGCGAAAATATAAAAATATATCTAGACAATCAAGAGCCTCTGAACGTGACTTGGACTACAAAGGGTTAATGCAGTGACGAGCGACCTTTTTTTCTGCAGCGCGCCAAAATTGAATATCCAATAATCCGCACGGGTCACTACAACCGCAACCTAACCTAATTTATTAATTTTAAAATTGATAACTCACAGGGTGGAACTTTTTATTTTCAACATAGGTAACAATGAATACATTTTTTATCCATAAAGATGAATATAAATTAATAATTCTGAAAAGTTTAAACATTGAAAATTATGTTAGGTTAGGTTAGTTCACTTTAGATGATTGAAATAATAAATTTTTGGAATTAACTTAAACATAGATTTTAAAAAGCTGTTGAATATGAATATTTCTCTGTATTTATGAAACAATTGAAATAATTTAAAAGACACGCAACAATTTATAATTTATAATGGTTTCACTGCATTTTTAAGTTGAATATAGAGAATGATTGGTAATAAGCTTTGGCAGGGGAATGGATTAATGGGCCAAGAGAGACCAAGATTGCTCAAACGAGGATCGATCTTCGTAGACGTCGAAAAAAACACGATCGAAGATCGCAACAGCCCTTATAGGATGCACAGACGCGATACACTATTCTCAAGTTGCATAATCTTGTTCCCCTCAATTACTCTTGCTGCCCTTTCACGCTTGTCATCAATGAAATCGTGTGTTTACCAAAGGAACGGTGGCTTGTGACTCTCGTTACCATTGCATTTTACGATATTATCATACGTTAAACTATCCTATATTCATCGATTGATATACACAGTAGACACAATGAATTTTTAGGACCTAGTTTCATCTCTTAAAAAGATCTTTAAGTATATCTAGGCAAGCATAATTTTTTACAATGGGAAATTTAATAATCAAAATAGAGGTTAAAAAAGTTACAAAGAATTTACCAAAAAATTTCAAACACTTGCAGAAAAGAAAACAATACTTCAAAAATCTAAATACACCACTATACGTCTTTTGAATCAAATTACAGAAGCTCGGAGAATTATAAAAAAAAAAAGAAAAATATGACCTCATATGCAATTAACTCTACACCAAAAATCACCGAACAAAGGACTGCCTAGAACGCCCTAAAACTCAGCAACCCTGATTAGACAACTTTGAAAAAAAAAAGTAAAAATCAAAGCTCAAGGTTGCACGTGTCCCGTTAGAGCGCGAAAATTCATCGAGGGACAAAGGGTCCAGCAGCTGGGGCTGTTCTAAGGATCCCAGGAGTTAGACAAAGCGGAGGAGCCTGGTACAAAGGGGTGTAGGGTCGTTTGCTAGAAAAAGCGTCCCTCGAAGTCCCTTCTAGGTTGGGCCAGGTGCTTCTTTTATGCTCGTGTCACGATGTTCCACTCCTGGAACTCTGTGAATTACATGTACAGCGTGTATAGTTTGTGCAACTGATATAGCGAGGTGGTAAAATTGGTCAGGCGCCAAAAATTTGTTATTTCTAATTAGAACTAAAAATGCACAATTTCTACCATCTTACTTTCAATGCCAATTCACGAATTACTGCATTACTCAGTATCGCTACTTAATGCTTTAATGTATCGCTTCCATCGACTATACAACGAGTGTACGCAATGCTCCTGAAATGTTAACACGCGAGATTGATTAATCCGTAGAGTTCACGGAAATCACGGTACCGCGGAATTCCTTCTTTTTCTCTCGTCCCTCTAGCGAGTAAGAGAAGAAATTGGCACGGGGATAAAAAGGGAGAGGGGAGAAACTACGTTAACGTTAGCGCGTACGATAAGCAATTCTATATTTTTCCGCGTGCTCGTGAGCCAGTAGAAAGGATTTTTACGGCGTTCCTTGTTTAAGAAATGGCTCATTAAGTATGCTAATGCACCACTGTATCAACCTTCACGCGGTTGAGCCTCTGAACGCCAGGTGAGTAATTGCTCCATTCGGCTTTTTACTGTATTCATGCTAATTTACACATTCGCTAGTGTATGTTGAGTTGCAATTGCATAGAGTAACGGAAATGTATTGAGATTCTGATTTAGAGTAACAGTATTAATGTAGCGTTAACCGAAAGAGTTATACTTCGAAGAGTAATTATTACAGAATCCTACAAGATGAAATGTAGGAATGTAAAATTTGGAAATTGGCTATTTCTTAGAATGAAAAATGTGACGGTAACGCTCTGAAATGAAATTGTGCAATACCGTTATATTGTAACCTAACCTAAAAAAATAAAAACAGCAATAAAGCGAAAATAAAATGAAAAATTGCAAAGCTGACAATTTTGTTTGACGAGAGAAATTGTAAGCGATAAATCTAAAGTAGATCACGAGCAAAAATCTCGGTGATGATCAAAGAGAAGATAAAATCGACATTTATGGACCGTTAAGCATCCACGTTAGAGTGACATGAGAAATGAGGTCCATTCGAAGGAATCCTTTTGCGTTAAGGCAAATTTACGTGAAAGGTGCGATACACGTTTCCTACAATAACGCAACCAGCCAGTCGGATAATTACGGAACATGATTGAAAGACAGACGTAAGGAATATTTTATCACTGTCTGCGATGCGATTAGGCGAAACATGTCATTAGTTTGTTCGTTTGCATTACCAGAAAAATTCTTCTTCTAAGCACACCTTTTGATAGTTGCAATCACTTCGAATTAGCGGATTAGCACCACACAGTCGTTTGAATATTAATTCAAATATTTCTGCAAATAAAATTCTATAAATAAAACTATTACAACAAACGCCTTCACATCTCTTCAATACTCTTTAAAAAAGCTCGAAAAATAAATTTGGAAAAATTTATCCTTCAGTGTTCACCATTGTAAATTCCTAGGAGGACTCATTACGCTGAAGAATCAAAGGAAGCTAGACGACGAGGAATCCCGCGAATTTGGCGGAACGCTTGTTGCGTGGCACATCTCTCCGTGACGTCACAGAATCAATACGAGCACTCTGAGCCGACTATCGACGTCACCGATGACACGTCGTCTCTCCTTGCCTGGATCTAACTGCTGGAAACCGGGGTACCGTGTCGTCGTAAACTGAACACACGACTCTAATGAAATTTGCCGTGTTGCACGGCGTCGCTGGAACGAGCAGAACGCGACGAGTTAGCCGTGAAACGAGATTGCACCTTTCTTCATCAATTTCCCTCTATTCAGCAGCGTCTTACTTGCCAGGATTACTTCTAAAGTCACGTTCGTCGCGTTAAATTTCATGGTCGAAGGGAAAAGGCGAACCTTCCAATGAATTCTTCAAGGAAATTTTAGAGTTTGTAATTTTGTACCTCATAGACTGTCTGATTGAGCGTTTTGTCTAAGAATGACTTGGTTTGTTTGTTGAAAAAGTGTTTGGATCCTTGTAGAAGAGCACTTTGTGTACAGTGTGTTGAGCAACAAGTGTATTCTCCTTCCTGGTTCCTTCCTGTGTAAAATATTGTTTTTTATACAATGTTTTATGTTTAAATTGTGAACAATGAGATTAATTAGTATTTGTTGAAAGATGTAAGCAGCAACTATCTCTAACTCCCTTCTCTAATTCTAAGTGCCTCATAACTCATACATACAGCTTATACGTGGTAAAGAAACAAACATAGAGTTACCAAAGAATTGAACTATTTTCCATACCACACCTATCAGAAGCTATCTTACATAATGATATCTCTACCCTGAAGCAACGAAAACTAGCAATCGAGGCGTATGGTTGCCTGGTACGATTGTCCGTTTCGCGATCACTATCGCGATTATCAATGATAGAATGTGTAATTAGAATGGTAAACAGGCATGGGCCTCGAGAGACGTTTGCGCGACATGGAAAGCAACTAAATGCCCGCGTTCTCCCTCGACGTGGCAATTTTCCAATTTGCGGCAAAGCTCGTGACTAGACCCAGACGGATCGACAATCACGTCCTCGTTGCCAGAGTTATCCTATCCGATCGTGACGAATCGTTTGCCTCCGCGTTTTGTTCGGTGAACAGCGCCGGATGGAATCGTTAGCGGGAAACAGAGGGTGGTTCCCCCTTGTGTCCCTCCATCATCGATGCATTCCTCGTTTCGAGAAGCGATTGCGGTCCTCTGTATTGTACTCGTGATGGAGACATTGCTTTTTCGGATAGTGCTCTACATAGTTTTCCTACTGCACCGAGACAATTTTATCAGTTGGGTGTGAGAAATTGGATTGCTTTGGAATTTTTATACAGTGCCATTTGATTTTTTTTTCCATTCTGAAAGTTGAATTTGAATTTTCAAACTGAAAGTTTTTCCTCTCGTGATTGTGATTGATTGACGTTGTATCACGAACCACCATTACTGCATTTCGTTCGTTCTACCTTACCTACACATTTCACGCAACACCACCAACTGACGCGTGTTTTTTCGTGATATCGATCGAATAATGCGATTCAGCAAGATACATCAAGGATTCTCCCGAACCATTTGACCCAGTTAATATCTGTCACGAGGACGTGAAACTGACCTGTATTCGAGAGTCTTTTGTTTAACAAAAGAATGTATGCAACAATGTGTAATAAATAATTTAACAATAACCTGATCCTACATTTACGATGTCCATAAAGCGATTCTTGACATCTACACGGTTTTTTCTTCTTATTACGTCTTGACCAACTCGTAAAATGATTTACATCCTGCGTAACAATTCTTTCAGAGAAAGTTCCAGAATGTAAACAATAAAAACCATTGTCCTCCAGATAGTATGAGCGCTGTGAATATTGGAAAAGCGTACATTGTAATGGCGCGTAATGGCGGCGTTGCGAAAGAATTATCGACGAAAAGAACGTAAGAATGGAAATCGTCGGTAAAGGAGAAAGAGGATCCTTGCGCAATGGTCGTTTCACTTTCATAAAGATTAGGGATCGATTGAAAAGAGAAAGGATCCTGATCATGCCCACCTATAACCTATTATTTGTAAAAACAAAAGGAATCTTTGTAGCAAAATTGAATCTTTGTTTAATAAAATTAATTAAAAATTAAACTTTGGTTATGCTACCAATTTCTCTTATGTATGTAGTTGAATGTCCTTTGTATTGTTGAAGAAGTTTAGTTCTACAATTCGACAACTCAATGCTTCTCATTCGTACGAACTCCTTTGCAAGGAATTGCGATAACGGTATGACAAAGAGTAATGAGCACTATCGCGAAGAATTATCGTTTGTCGGCGAGGAGAATTAAAAAATTCGGTCACGAATTTCGCTGCCGAGAACGATAACTTTTCATTCGTGTTTCGTCGAGTTAATCAAGTAAACAGGGGAATCATGCAATTCAAAGCTCTGACGTTATATCATGCTGCACAATGCGTTGCACACGTATATTGCACATGTTCTTTTCAAAAGTTTCAATTACTTTAGTTCTACAACTATTTCCACTAAGGATCGATAGATCATATTGAAATTAAATATAACAATATATTACGTAGTACCTTTCTAAGATTTTGCAAATTGGTTAATTTTAGATATACATATACATCTCCTTAAAATTCACTAGCGTTTGAATAATCGTTCTTGCGTTGGTTAAAAATGATGTTAAGTTAGTAGCGAGTGTACAGGAGTTCCGTCTTATTGAGCATGACGGTATTTTACTGCCATCTTTCGATAGTCAATGAAATGACGTACCATTTTACTGACGCGCCAGCTGAGACATGATCGATCTTTTGTAGGTGCACGTGGAATATGAACCTAACCTTGTTTTATCATTGGTGTGAATAAAAACCAGTGAAAAATTGTAGTATTGCTTAAACTGAATTAGAAATTTCTTATATATTCTTTGTTGAAGTGGAATAAGGAAAAATGGGAAAATTAGGGCCGCGCTTGGCTAGTCGGAAAAAGGCGAAACGCTGGCCAAAGGGGCAAAGTTCCAGCTCCAATCCAGAAACGAGAAAATATCGTGATCAAGCATCATGGATGTTTTTTAAAGATACCACAGGTACTCATTTACGAGGTATCAGATGAGAAATTTTTATAATGTCTGTTTAATATCATACAGAACTCTTTCATTTCTTTTTTATTTCAGGAAAACCTGGTATAACAACAGAGGATTTGCAAAAACATGATGCTATTCAAGGAATTCAGCCTCAATTTGAGAAACTTGATTTGGATGAAAATCACTCAGATAGTGGTACACAGAGTACTATCAATACAGTTGACACATTTGCCACCAATTATAGTAATTGTTCAAATGTATCATTTAGCAGGTTCTTAAATCATTTTCAATCAAATTCATTATTACACAAGGAAATGTTAGCTGTATTATCTGCAGTTACAGAAGTTATAAAGCAGAATGGTGGAAATGAATCTTCCACAGAATACTTTGCTGCATTGGTGTGTATTAAATATTATAAATTTATTTCTCTGAATGAGATATTAGGAAATGAATGATTTTAAATATTGACATTATAGATGAGTACTTTAGAAGCAATTGAATCAGGTACATCAGTTGCAGCTACACTTTCATTATTAGGAATGGGTCTAAAAACTGTGCCAAAGAATGTTTTGAATGTACAATTTGCAGCTGCAAGTAAAATTTTCCTTGACATTCTTGCCAAGCATGCAACATTAGATGACTACTTAATACTTAGACATGTAAGTTTATAATTTAGTATTAACATTATAGCAAGATATATTATCAATAATTTTTATTTTTTGCAGTGTATTCATTGTCTTTCTTTACTCCTTCGAGCACAAGAGGCAGCAGCATGGTCCAACTCATCCACAGTACAAATATTAGATGCAGTTCTAACATTTATTATACATGCTAAAGCAAAAGTGAGAAAATCAGCCCAACATGGAATAGTTGCCATATTAAAAGGTAATATTATTCAATAATATTTATTGTAAAAAATTTAATAGATTTCAGTACTATAATATTTTTAACATATATAGGAAGTGAGATCATGAAGGGTGATGATCCACCACAACATCATCCAGCTGCACCACATATTGCAAAGTATTGTAGTAGTCACTTGCAACTTGATTCTGAACCTGGTGGGATTACAAGTGCCCTTCATATCCTTACACTATTAAAAGATATTATCCACCTCTTGCCAAGACCTAATGTGAAGGTACTTGTCAGTTATATGTTTACATGTTTTATGTATAATATAGAATTAAAAAATTGTTTCATTTTTTCAGATAATTTGTGAATCATTGCTGAACATTATGACATTGAAAAACATGTTGATAACATCGTGTTGTTTGCAAACCTTACACGGTTTGTTTGTCTCCCGACCGCTGGAGACTACTCTACCTGGACTACGAAATGGACAACTCATTACTGCCCTTTACGATTTTCAGCCTCCACCAACCGATGCACAACCGACTCTTGCATGGTTAACTGTTATGCAAGAAGCACATTTAAATCTATCCAAGTGAGTGCAAATTTTATATTTAAATTATGCATTTGGGATTTGGATAGGATAGAAACTAGAAATGTATTTTTCGTTTATAGTATTTCAATGAATATGTGTGCTAGTATGTTACCAAAAATATTTGGTAAATGTATGGAATTGTGGCTTTCGGATAAATCGACCGTTATATCTGGTTCGTCGCACACAATAAAAACATTATTACAAGATTGCGTTAGTAAAATGTGTGAAGATGAAGAAGCAATAAGAAAGTAAGAGTAAATTGAAACATTATTTCCAATGTAATATGCGGGTTCTGTTATTTATTTTTTAATTTTTAGGTACAGAACCCAAATCGATCAGATAATTTATATGATGCATAAACATTTAAATATTCAATGCTTAGAAGCATTGTATCATATTCTTCATTTAATAGCTCTGCTTTTTCAGGTAATATTCCATCTCTATCTTTCAATTATCTGTTCCTTTCATTTAATTATATGTATGTTTGTTTCCATTATAGATAACTGGTAAATCGCGTAGCCCAAAATTAGTAGATATATTGAAGACCTTAGCCGATTTACGCGATTCTTACAATTTTGCGTCGAAGAATGATGCAGAATACGCCATTGGAGCTGCAATAAGAGTTATGGGACCAGAAACAGTACTAACTTTTATACCATTAAAAGTCAGTAATTTTAGATAATCACAAATCGAAATAATTATTTTCTAATTATAATATGAACCTGTATTCTTCTACAGTTATCCGATGATGTAATTAACTTACAAAGAACTTGGTTACTGCCATTGCTGAAAGACTGTATCATGGGTGGTTCACTAACTTTCTTTATAGAGATATTATTACCTCTGGCGGAATTATGCGAGTGAGTGTTTTTAAATATTTTAATTGAGCACAAACTTCTAACTTTTTTTATCTACTATTAATTTCAGGAAAAAAGCGAGCGAACCCATAGGAGGAAAAACTTACGAATTTCTCGTGTGTCAAATCTGGGCTATTCTGCCAAGTATATGTGACAATGCTAAAGATGTAAAAGATAATTTTAAGGTATGCACTATAGATATATGAAAGAGATGTGTACGAGTATTCATGGCATAAATTTTTATTCAGCATATAGCCAAACTTTTGGGAACGACCTTCAGTGAGAAAAAAGATCTAAGACTTTCGATAATGTCCGCCTTACGAAAATTAGTAAGGAAAGCAGTCGAAGACGATAAAATGCAAGATATTATTGAATTAAGTAGATTTGCAAAGAATTATCTACCACTGTGTCTAAATTTATATACCACCAAGCCATCTGGAACCGACGAGGAAGGACAACGCCTTTCTGCATTCGAAACAATTAAAGTAATTTATTAATATAACTCACAATGTTCTTTTGCAAAATTAACTGTAACTATTGTTTTTTTTACAGACATATCTTTTAATTACCAATAAGGATTTGGTACATGAATTATTCGATCGTGCACTGCTTAGGTTGCAAGAACCTAATACTGACGACTTCTTCAAAGAGAGTGTTCACGATATAATAAGACTATTAATTGAATATACTGATAGTGATAGATTACAAACATTTTACGATATGTGTTTACCGGCTCTTAAAGAAAGCTCTAAATTTAAAGAACAGAAAAAGGCATATAGGTATCTTTTTGCTACGTTAAATGTTTAAACCAATTTTTTCACAAAAAAAAATTATTTCTTTACTCATGCATATTTTTAGGTTTTTGGAAGATGCATGTGGTAGCGACAAGGAAACATGTAAAGCGTTTGTGGCACAACACAGACGTGAAATACAGAAACTTATAGTATCCACAGCAACTGAGGTTGCTAAACCAAGCAGAGGGGTAAGTATAGTGTGCAATACAGAGTTTTTTTTTCATTAAAGATTCAAAAGGAAGTTTATGTTATAATATAAAATTTTGCTTTTCAATTAGCCTCGATTGAGATGTATAATTCATCTGATCAAATCTCATCCGCAACTCGAAAAGAGTAAATTCCTAGAATTTATTGTTCCTGAAGCAGTAATCTATTTAAAAGATCTAAATGCAAGGTGTCGAGCTACTGCGTACCAGCTTTTAAACATTATTGCCGAGAAATTCTTATTAAATCCGGACCATCTTAAAGAATATGTAAATATCGTAATGGTTGGTTTAGCCGGTGGATCAAAGTATTGTACCGCAACTATGTTGGCACTTGCCTCTCTTACGTATCATTACAACGGTATGAATTTATTTTATAATTAATATATACTTAAAATGAGATAGTTGAATATTGCAAACATTTGTTTAAAATGTTAAAACAGGATCTTTAGGCATGGAAACAGTCAAAGAAATCTTGGAACATGCGAGCTCACTTGTTGCAAGCACAACAAGAGAAGTTGCAGAAGCTGCACTGTCGTATATTAAAGTTTACATCTCTGTGATGCCATCTCCTGTTGTTGCTTCGACTTTAACTAAATTGGTAAGCAGAGAAAGCATTTAAGGCCAAGAATGCCAATTAACTCAATGACATGAATTGATTAAATTGTAGATAGAAGCTTTATGTGGGATGAATGACGATTGTCATAGGCATTTTAGACACAAAGTACGCGACATTCTGGTGAAATTATTAAGAAAGTATGGAATGGAGACAATCTCTGGTGTGATTCCAACTTCCAACACAATATTGCACAAAAGATTGAAGAATATAAATAAAATAGAAGAGGCGAAGAAAAAGAAAAAGGAATTGAACAAACTGAAGGAACGAGACACTGACGAGGATAGTGAATTCAACGCAAGGAGAAGGCCTAAGAGGTAATCCTCAAATTTGATTATAAAAGACCTTTTTACTTAAACACAGACATTACTGTAGCTTTTATTAATATTTAGCATAGAGGAAATATTGGCGGATAGTGAAGAGGAATTAGAAGGCGCAGAAAACGAAGAGCCAAAGAAAAATAAGAAAAGAACATCCAGAAAGGAAGCTTGGATTCAAGAAAATGAAGATATCGTTGATCTCATAGATCCTGCGGCTGCTAGAAATATATCAAGTACTGCAGTATACATTATAAACTTCAGTAAGAATTTTAATTAAATTTCAACTTAAAAAAATTTATAATATAATTTTCTAGCGACACAACCTGGAATGTTAAATCCAAAAGGAGCTGTTGCAAAATCAAAGAATCGTGGATTTAAGACTGCCCCAGATGGCCGTCTTATAATCACAGAAGGAAATGAAAGAGATGATGAAGAAGTAGTTAAGAGGAAAAAGAAATCTCCACTTTTATTGCATAGTGATTCAGAAGACGATTACGGTAAGAAAAATGTGATTGCATAAGAACATAAAATAATTATAACAAATACACGAAAACAGCTAATAAATTTGCATTTCAGAGGATGTCGACGATATTGAATCTATTGCTGCAGAGCAAATAATGGCTAGGAAACGTAAACATAGCGACAATTTGGATAGCACTAGCGTAAGAAGTGGAGATTCATCGAAATACCAAGGTAATATGATTACGAATGTTTCTTTTATTATATATTGTATCTTAATTAATTTTTTAATTGAAATTATATGTCTAGCTGGAGGATCAGGAATACATAGACCATTAAAGAAAGGAAAAATACAACACAACCCTGGAGCAGAATATAGGGCAACAAAAGCTGGAGGTGATATTAAAAAGAAGGGTAAACCAGATCCATATGCATATGTACCTTTAACAAGAGCATCATTGAACAGAAGGTAAATAATATTTTTAATTTTCGTGTAAGTTAAATCTATATCATATTGATATATTTGTATCATTTTTAGGAAGAAGAAACAAAATGCAGGCAAATTTGAAAACATTATTAAAGGAGCAAAAAAAGGTGCAAAGGTTGGAATGAAAAATAGGAAGAAAAATTAGAGAATGATGAGTATGATATTGTTGTAATATAATTAATGGAAGAGGTGAATAATCATGCTTTGTTAAAATTTTTCATTCGAAAAGTATAGAAATATATAGTATATTTTAAATAAAAAAGTATGTAATTATAACAGAATTTACAACCTCAAACATAAATATGATTATAATAATCTGGTGTATATTACTACAATGTTGAAAAATATATACTTCAGCAAGTAAGATGTTTTTCTAAAATAAAGTAACTTCATAACAAAAGTACAGGATTTCTATATTGCTATTTACTAAAACTCAGGGTTTACAAAGACAGATTTTTTACACAGGTGGTTTAATTTATTACATATTTCAACAGAGCAAATATTGAAATCCTTACAACTGATGTAAAATAATTTAAGAATAATTATGTTAAAATAGTGACCAGCATCCCCTCTGAAAGAAAACAATTGTATGATCCTTACTACCTAATTAACAATATTTATACCACAATTAAAGAGTTCTCCTTACATTGAACATAGCTACATGTGAGAATGGAGACTCACATTTCTGTTGTATTAACTCTTCTTAGGTAGTATTCTTTCCAGTTCTCCATCCTGGCTCATCTCCTTTATAATATCCAATCCTCCGATAAGTTCTCCATTTATATACAATTGGGGATATGTGGGCCAATCACTAAACTTTTTAAGTCCTTCTCTAACATCATTATCTTGTAAAATGTCAAATGTTTGATAGTCTGCCTTATAAGAATCTAAGATAGAAACTATTGTTCTAGAAAATCCACAACGCGGATTTGTAGGGTTTCCCTTCATGAACAGCATACATGGTCCTTGATTTATCAATTTCTTTAGCCTATCCTCCAAATTTTCTTTAGGTTTACATGCTTCAATTGGAATGGTTTCCTTGTTTGTCAAATGCTGCTTAATTTTCTCTGCTATAGCCGATGGATTGGCTCCATCAACTCTGTCAAGTACAGTGTCATTTCTTGCCAGAACAATTGTCGGTACTGCAGTAATATCAGTTTTCAGGGACACTTCAGGTACTTTCTCAGCTTCGATTTTGGCAAACTTGACCCCTTTGTACTCGGTCAATTTGCTCATCTCCTCGATTACGTCGTTTATTTGTGAGCACTGATCGGCCCATGGCGCGTAGAAGTGAATGACTGAAAGATCCTGTGACCTGACACGACAAACAAACGCGATCTTAAAAATCACGAACTCCCTATGTATATTATGTATATAAACACGGTACCAAAGTCTCGCTATTTTATCATGAAACTATATCGCTAAAAACTCGTGACTTTTGAACCGAAGGAAACTTCCACTTCGAATTCCAAAAGATATATAACATTGATTCGTCGTCACATACAAATATTTATATTATTGCGACACCCTAATACATGAAAATATTCTCTCTTTCTGCTTTACAAACAATTTTTAAAGTATAAATTATGCTTCTTGTACGACAATGTGTTAAGCATCGAAACACGACCGCTAACTAGGTTATGTTGTTTCTAGAAACCGAACTGCTTATATTTCTGATTACTCACTTAACGTAATTCTCGTATTCTGGCTGAGAGTTGATATTGGTGACAGTCATTCTGTCACGTTTCTTCGTGTAATCGTTAAAAACACGTTAATATTAAGCAAAAAAAACTTCACGCATACGTGCTATCGCTACGGCGGCGTCTACGCGACTTCCAACAATCCCCTCATGGAGGTTTTATAGTCACGGCTGCAAAATTACTGATTCTGCGCAGAAGTTCGCCAATCCACTGTTGGCTACAGTAGAATGTTCCGTATTATGTACATATGATATATGTAAATACTTCGATAAATTGTTTTACCTATTCAAAAATAATACTAATTTATGGTCTAATTATCGTTATCGCTTTTTCCGTGGTGTGTCAGTAGAACAAATTGAAAAATAAACCTTATCTTAAAGACATTTAAATACGCTTGTCAACGAAAGTATATGCGTTGTTTCTCGTTCCTTCGAATCTTTTAACAAAGTATTCACTGTTCGATTAACTTCGAAAAAATTCATCTAAAAGTAAGAACGTTTAATTCGAACGAAAAAAGTGGAGAACAAAAAGTTTAATGGTACAATGTGGATGAGACTTAAAGGCAGTAGTTCTCAATGCTGTAAACATGACAGTGAAAGTAGCAACGAACAACTCCAAAAGTTTCGAGATTTTTAGAGCTCCAAAATTCTTACAATAAATAAAAGATAAGCAACGATGGAATATTTTGCCTTTTTAATTACCGTAACCTTTGAAAAAAAGCTACGAAACAAATCTGAGAAACGTATTATCAGCACATGATCGAATTGTAGTACTACTTTCATTCGGTAACCAGAAACATGTCAGAGAGAGGAAACGATAAGAGGTGAGAATCACTGGTACCGGATCATATTAGATAAAACAGGTGCACCATAAGAAAGTGACCAATCGCAGTGGCGATGGGCTGTTCGTCATACTACCGTACAAAACAAGTCGTCTTGGACGTCATTGAGGGGCGAGAGGGGAAATGAAGAAGCTCGGGCTGTCAAGACATCTCGCCCACAAAAAGCAGATGCAGATGCGACCGGGCGGTGAACACGTGCGACGCTTTTTTGTGACGGGCGCGTGAACACGCGGTGCAATGTTCAAAAAGTTGTCGCGGAGCGACGCCCTCGAGGACATATCCAATTGGAGCATCAATGATGTGTTGTGCCTGCTCCGAAAGGTAAGTACACTCTGATTCAGTCGAAAGTTATCTCTGGTATTGTCAACAGCAAATTGTTCTAGAAACCGAATTGGATAAATGAACATGTGATACGAAATTCCAGATTTTAAACGTTCATTTGTATTTAGGACTACTGAACGTCTGTAACAGATAACGATTCGTTGACATTACTATTGGTCGATAAAAATCAATTACGAGAATATTTCAACAGGGGGGCGAATTATTGTATTCTCATACGTTGCATATATTTCTAGGATTTTTAATAATTTCTTTCTTGGTTGTATGAATGGCAAATGCGAAAAATCGAGTGTTACAATACGTGGAATTATTTGTACAGATCGATAGGCATAGAAACGATCGATAGCCGTGAGTTTTTGCCCCCTGTTCGAGACACCTCATAGTGGGTTAGTACACCTTACATACTGGTTGTCAAACTGGATGACAAATCGGGAATGCCAAGCAACGTGTATATGACACATGTGTATAAACAGTGTGGTTCGCGTGTGTATTTTTAATGATTCGCGTACAACAAAGTGGATATATGAGATTCACGTAGCATGCTGTACTTTCTTTTTCATGCCATAGAACCGTGAGAGTGAAATACAAACAAACCGTTAAGACTCGCGTGAAAACGTTCAACAATGAAAGTACATATACCGACCGAGTGTACCGTTCGAAATTAAACATTTGAATTTTAAATCAAGGTTGCTTGACTTGCGGAATGAAACATCTAAATACGATGGTGTAATTTCGAAATAAAACAACGATGTAACATTCGACTAAAAAAATCGCTGTTTAAATAATTTTAAGGTCGCAGAATCGTTTATCTTCCGCGTTTCATTGAACTCTCAGCGACAGATCCTCAAGTAAAACGACTTCCGCGTGTGTTTTCACTTCATAATCGTAAAACCTGCATGACTGAACAATTTAGACGGTCATTTTGTAAAAGTAATTTTCGTGAAATCTAGAAAAGTAATTGCGATCGATTTAAATCGACGTAAAAACCTCGTACAATAAAGTAGAAAGGAGGAACATTTTTTATCTGAATTTCACCCACTTTGTTGCTACAGATAAAGCAAATATTTATAGAAGATACGGGTACATCCGCGTGAGTATCACAGACGTACATCCTGTTTGATTGAACAGGTCCTTCTCGTTTTTGCAGAACGGTCTGGAGGAATGTTGCAAAACCATTACAAAACGACAGATCGATGGGGACGAGTTACTGGTGAGTAAATCGTCTAGAACACGGTCATCGACTCTCCTCTTTTCCTCTTTTTCATTTACGCCTGGCTGGTTAACATCTACGTCGTCTATGGTTATGTTTACATTATGCGGTGCATAGATAACGTTTCACTGTATACATCCGTGATGAAACATCTGGAGATTGAGGACAATACCTTTATGTAATATAAATGTAAATCCGCAAAAAATTACGGACCAATTAAAAATCATAAAAATTTTTTGAAATAATTTTAAAAAAGTGCAAATGAATTTCGTAATTTTCTCTAATTACCAACATTACGAAGATAATTATTAACTCGCGAGAAACATTAGGATACCATAAAACATAAAAATAAGAGAAATTATTAGAATCTCCCTTTCAGAATTATCTGTCGCTTTCATGAAATAAAACAAAGAAACTAAAGATCGTTTCACATTTTCTTAGAACCATACAATATAAAGAGAAACGAGTTTCTAACCGGTTGAATAGAGAGAAAACGCGAACCGTGGACAATGCAGCGAGTATACTCATTCATAATTCCTGGCGTTATTTCGGTTCCAGCCGGCGCGTGCTCTCGCTTCTGCTTCTCTTAATTAATTGTAATTATTGCAGCACTTGACGGAAGGGAAGCTGGCGCTGTGGAAGAGTGATCTCACGCGTCCATTGATATGGTAAGAGTACGAAACATCAGGCGTGCCTCCTTTCTCCGTGGAACGCGATGGAACACCACGGACCTGTTCCCGCGACCCACAGTAGAATTACGAAGCCCGTTTCGCGGTCTAACGGTTCCTCTCTCTCTTTACCAAGCATCTCCGCGGGACACGCCTTCGAATCGTGACCGACCGAGCAATTACCCTATACGCATCACAGACGTGTTCAATGATTTCTGAAACCTGTACGGGGATAATTAGAGGATCGTACGGTCGAACGACTTTATCGATTGATTAGATAAGTCGATAGCGAGAATGCTAAGCAAGAGATGGCTCACGTAACTAGATACTGTGGCAACAGCAACATTCGGTAGAAAGCCGGAAAAAAGAGTTCGCTTCCGTTGAAGAAGATTTTTTATGTTCAGGGTTGCAGTGACCATTGGTGCAAGGACAGTCGAGCGGAAACCTTCATGGTGTGAAGAGAAACGTGTGAAAGCAAAATTCGAAGAAAGAGGATATTTTGTATTTATATTGTTGTTAACTATTGGCTAAAAAGTTATTTGTTAAAAATATATTTTTTAACGAAATATTCTTTTTCTTCGACTCTTTTCTCTTCACACCATGAACGTTCCCGTTCGACTGCCCTTGCACCGATGGTCACTGCAACCCTGAAACGTAAAAAAGGTGGCGCTGCAGGATTTCTTCCGCGCGCGCTCCTACGCTTTCCGCCAGATTTTCTTCAGCGGAAGTGGACTTTTTTCCGGCTTTCTGCCGGACGTTGCTGTCGCCACAATGTTATATGTTATTGGAACGATTGGAAATGGAGAAAGGTAGCCTTTAGAATTTTTGAAGGTTAAAAAATTGAAATATGTATCTCTACACAGCAAAAATATAGAATGATAACAGTAATTAAGTAATAACAATAGTTAACTGTAGGATTTTGGAAGAAACAATTGGAATAATTGGAAATGAGAATTAAACGGCTTCAGAATTTTTATATTCTTTATTACTCAAAAATGGTAACCTAAAGCGAGGAGATCTAGAGTGTTGAAAAATTGAAATACACATTTTCCTCCACGTGTAACGAAATAAAAATATAGTATACCACGATTAACGATGATTATGTGAGAATTTTGCAGTGATCAGTGATCGTTACAGCAGAGAACGTGTCAGAAAAAGAAACCACATTATTCCATTAACTACACCTTGCTCAATTAATCGCACTGGCAGTCACTTACTCGTGCGACGTGCGTTCCATTTCCACTTCGTTTGCTGAACATTCGCAATCAGTCTGTACAAGAATCGAATTGACAACGATAACTACATCAAATATCTACAGAAAATCGAATTCTAGTTCTATCGTTATCGCTTATTTCACTCTGCGATTCTAAGCGTCGACGGTGGCTGGCTGGCAAAAATTTGGCGAGCGATGACGCTACTGTAGAAAACGTCGCGGGACGCAGTATGCATACAGAGAGGAAAGAGTTCAATGGCTCCGGTAGAATCGAAATATGTCGCGGCTAGCTTATACCGAAGGCCGTTCGCAAGGCAGACGCGGCTCTGTTATCCGAGCCTCGGTGCCATAAGTGCGTAATTCCATCGTGTGGGATGTCCTCGATCATTCAATATCACCACTGACGCCACGAAATTTATCGTCTTCTTTTATTAAGGAAATTCCACTTGACAACAACGCGAACATTAGCATGATGTCCAGGGCAATTAGGAGATAGCGTGTTCGTGTCTGAATAAGAGGAAATATTTGTACGTTTAATATATACCAGATTTGACAAAGAGAAGAGAAGAGAAACGAAAGAAGGGAGACTTGGTAAAAGATTATTGAAAAATTTTCAATTCGACTTACGAAAATCCTCTAATTGTTCCGAACAAATCCAAGCTGACGGAGTTTCAAAAGTGTCCATCTTCTTGCAGGAACCTCTGGACGTTCGTGGAGGAGGTGAGGAGAAGCCCGGAGAAATTCGTCGAGGAGAAGATCCTCGAGTCTCAAACGATCGAAGATCACCTGAGCGACACCGACTCCTGGGGAACGGACTTCGAAGATGAAGTGAACGAGGAGAGTAGCTTACCAGAGACACAGAAGCCTGGCCAATTGAATTTCGATTCGAAAAGTAATCATCAAGCTTCGGAAAATAATGTCGAGTTCAAGCAACGAGTTGCAAGAGCGGAGGAAGTCTCGAGACAGCACGAAGAAGGGACTTACGCGAATTCTGGTTTAATGCAGAACGACGAGAACACGTATGCTAATTGTCAAGAGTCGAAATCTGTGCCATTGAAAAATACGTCTAAATTATACGGTCAAAGTGAGAAATCGTTGACGGAGCAGCTTAAGGAGCAGCTGAAATTTAGGAACACGAAGAAACCGATGGCTGGTCCCAAACCTGAGTTTCTCCAAGCGAGAACAGTAGAGATGACAGCGTCCAATTGTGCTTTACCACGAAAATCCTTTCTGTACAACGCCTTGCAGGCGAAACCTCAAGCTCCTAGTCAGATACAAAGTTAGTGCATAGAGAAACTCGTCGTTGATCTTTAAATACCATCTACAAATCATTTCTCAGCGCTGTAGCTTGTTTAAAATTAATTAGACCTTCAAGGTCACTGTGTAGTAGATCTCCCATCGCGTCTCGTTGTCTTACAAAAGATAAATACATTTTTTTAAATTGATAATTTCAGAGAGAATGATGGTACCACCACCACCGGAGCCAAAAAGGAACAAAGATCCACCGGTGATCATTAAAAAGTCGAACAAAGATCAGACAAAGCCTTCTGCAACGCTCAGAAGTTTAGATTTGGTTGCTAATTTGCCTACGAGAACCGAGGAGAGCGAAGACGAGTACGAAGCGTTCGATGAACAAATTATCGAACAAAATCAGAAGAAGAATATATGGAGGGTGGATAGCAAGCAATCGTTGATCAGTGGCCATCAGAGTTCCGCGGAGAGTGTCTATCAACCGCCTAGCGTTACCAGCTACGAGGAGGAGGATGAACCCTATGAAATTTATGAATCAATCACGGAAACTGTGAGTCTGTAAATATACAGGGTGCTTCAAACAAATGTTGACACTTATATGGAAGTACAGTAGACCCCCGTATATCGCTAAAAAAAAAAAAGAACAAAAATTCTGAATTTGTAATTTTGTAATTTTGGGTTAATTAAATTTGACTG